CATCTCACCCAATCCCTAAAAACTACCCCGGCTACGCCCAACGCCAGGATCCACGACTCTATCTCGCCCGATCCCTAAACTACCTCGGTTGCGCCCGACGCCAGGATCCGCCACTTCGTCTCGCCCGATCCCTAAACTGCCTTGGCTGCGCCCGACGCCAGGATATGCGACTTCATCTCGCCTAATCCCTAAAAACTACCTCAGCTGTGCCCGACGCCGAGATCTGTGACTCCATCTTGCCTGATCTCTAAAACTGCCTTGGCTGCGCCCGACGCCAGGATCCGTGAGCTCCATCTCATCCGATCCCTAAAAACTGCCTCGGACGCGCTCGACGCCAAGATCCGCGACTCTGTCTCGCCCGATCCCTAAACTGCCTCGGCTGCGTCCGACGCCAGGGATCCGTGACTCCGTCTCGCCCGATCCCTAAAACACACCCGCTGACAAACCCCCCCAGGTGATTCTGCCCGAATCGCCCAGGGGCTTGGGGGCTACACCCGTGGGTGCGCTCGCACGCACCTGCTGACGAAACAAAACTTCCCCCACTGGCAACACGAAAAACCCCCAAATGATTCTACCTGAATCACCCGGGGGCTACACCCGCGGGTGCGCTCACGCGCATACCGTCATAGCAAAAATCCCCCAGACGATTCTACCCGAATCACCTAGGGGCTCGGGGGCTCCTATCGGGTTCATAAACCCGGGATCCCTCATGGACCGGCTTCCTAGCAAAGGCTCGGCCCAGCAGACAACATTGCGAATGACGTGCAACTCCTAGGCCGGCCCAAATACCTAAACGACAGGCCAGAAGGGCGATCCAATCTCTGACCGGAAGGCCTCACTAAGAAGGAACAACGCTCGCTTCCAACTCCAGCACGCCTCTCCGACCATAAGGCCTGGCCAAGGAGGAACAACGCTGGCTTCTAACTCTGGCCCGCCTCTTCGACCGGGGATGCGTCGAACCCCTGCTTACAGCTCTTCTCCGACTAGCGCAGTCGGAGCCGACTGGGACCAACCAACCAAGGACACCCACTCGATAAGGACCAGGAAATGGATGAAGCAAGTAAGGCAGGGCACTCAAGTCAACCGCAATACCGAGGACTGTACCCTGCACACCTGTAGGATAGTAACCGACAGGACATGTCAGGAGGGTGCCCTGCAACCTTCCAGGCAAGCCAGAATCCAAGCAGTGTTGTGGGCGCCGACATTTGCCCTATAGTGTTGTGGGCATCATCAACTCCCACACCATGACAAACACGGTAAGGCTCCCCCACATGCCTTTGGGCACCAACAGTGTTTTAGGTGCCGTCATTTGCCCTACATGGAGAACATGGTAAAAACCTCCCACATGTGTCTGACATCGACAGTGTTATGGGCGTCTACAACCATCTTGTATCCGACGACGTGGGCAACAAGACTTAGTAGCATACGTACTCTCTCTCTCTCGTTTGTAAGGCCGTCCCCTTCATCTATAAAAGGGGATGCGCTCTCTCCCAACAGGGATCCCTCAGTTCACCCACATCGATTCACCCTCTATAGCTTTAGACACTTTAAAGCTACACAGAGCGCACGCTTGAACACTTAGCACATAGCGGAGCTCCCGTCACTCTCGGCCCTTCAGACCAGAGTCCGACCGAACCTCTTGTACCCCCATCTTTTCCCCTTCTGTTTGTAACCCTACAGCAAACTTCGAGCACCTGGGCTCAGGAATAAAGTCACCGACCGACTCAAACTAGACGTAGGGCACGTTGCCTGAACCAGTATAAACCCTGTGTCATTGAGTGCTAGGCCACATCCGATCACAACGTACGATAAAACTATAAATATTTACGTGTTGGTCACTTTCTGCAACGACAGCTACAAACAAAGAGTTCAATACCCATCTTTGGTATTCTCCAATAATAAGACTTAAAAAACATTTCTAGAAATAGGTCTATAGGAGAGAGGATACTCAGTTTTGGTTATACCTCTCATGACACACAAAATAGGTCTTGTACTCTGTTGGAGGCTATAAAGAGTATATGTATTGTGTGTTGGAGGCGCATTTTGAAGCCGTCCGATCCTACTACCTGTCCACAACTTCCCCTCCGGTGGCGTCCACGCGTCTGCCCCTCTGGAAAGACCCACGCCAGGAGCCATCCTCAGCAGACCGCGCAACCCTAAGACTGTCTCCAACAAGGAACCTATATGGGCACCTAAACCAAAAAATATATAGCAAGAGACCCCAAAATCAGCCTCCAATAGAGTCCCTATATGGAAGACCTATTTTCGGTTGCCTGAGAGGCATAATCCAAATATGGACATCATCTCTCCTGAAAACATATTTGTAAAAAAGATTCTCTTTTGGGTTTTGTTGGAGAAGATACCGAATATATATCGAATCTTTTGCCTGTAGCGTTATCCAAAGGACAAATGAGTCTTGTATTTTAGGTGTTGTTGTTGAGATACCCTAAGCCCTTCCACGCCACCTCTCCTTCATATAAGTGGGTTGTACAGTGAAATGAGAGAGGGGAGAGGGTATACAACTTTAAGGGTAGATGGTAGATAAGGGAAACAAAAAAAATTTAAGCCTCCTCTCCTTCAGATAAGGGAAAAAAGAAAAAAAAGGAAAGAAAAAATCACCCTCTGCCGCCATCCTCGCCCTTGCGTCGCCCCCTCCACGCACGGCGTTGAGCTCGGACCCTGCAGCTGCGCCAGCCTGCCAACGCCCTCAGGCAGCGGCGCGCCAAGGCCTCGGCCCGCATCCACCGCGTCGCGCGCGCCCGTACTACGCGCCGCCGCCGCCGCCGCCGCGTCGCCTCCGCGGCCGCCTGCCTTCCGCAGCGGGCGCGCGGCCCTTCTCGAGACCGCCGCACAGGCCCCCCTGCCCCATCCAGCCCCGCGCTCCGCCAGCTGTTGATCCTGCCGTCGCTGGGGAGGCCACTTGTAGCCCAACGGAATCGTCCTCACCGGAGCCGAAGCGCCCAGCGAGACCCCAGCCGGACTCCTCCGCTCTTGCTTCACCGGTGGCCTTGCCTGCTGCGTGCTCCCCTCCATAGCGCAAGGTAACAGCTCCCCTCCTTTGCAGCTCGTCATCTATGCTGCCATCGGTACTGTTCCCCCGTCATCAGTACGATCCGACGGATTTTTTACGGGTCCCTGTCTTTTGACTTCCATACCAGCAGTATCTGTTTCCAAAGTCCAGCACACTTGCATATCCGGCGAAGACGTGTTCATCTTGACAATCCATACCAGGGTAATGTCGCCTCTACCTATGTTGTGGGTGATTAGGTCTACTGTTCTACCTATGCATTCTTTAAATTCTTTGGGGTCCCTACTCTGCAGCTGCCCACAGTTCGGTTCCTCAGCAATCCGACCACCACAGCGTTTCTTAACGCAGGAGGTGTACATTCCCGGCTGCTTCCAAAAACGACGAAGGTGGCTCCTCTCGATTTGCAGAAAGTTCAGTGCCGTCCCTCCGCATTCGACGTTGCCGTAACCCATCGCCTGCTGCTTCCGAAGTCGAACCCTTTTCAAAAGTTCACATTACTGAAATTAGTTTTCCAGTGTCAATGACTTAGATTCTGCATTATTTCTCTCTAAGAATGATATCAGCTACTAAGATTCTTCTATCCTCTTGCTTCCATGTAAGGGAGATATTTGTTTCTTAGTGCATACTTCATGCTTCTCGAGATTAATATGTCATCAGCATGGGCATGTTTCGTACAGAATTCAGGCTACCACTTGATATTAACCTAGCAGACCTTTTTGCAATTTTGGACTGCTTCATTGCTAACCCAGAATTGACTACCTGATCATTTTTTTCTTCCATATATATTTGTGCTCATATTGACGGTTGCTTTTTTAGGTGAATCTGCCTCCCTTTCATTTTGCCAATCACTTTCGCAGCCTCTTCCCGCTTAGGGATCATTTCCCTGTTAAGGTATTTGATTTCCAGACCAAGAGAGTAACGCTTCCTTTTTTAATATACAGAGACATCAATCACTATCCTCATCTTGCTACGAAAAAACATCTACATGAATAAATGCTATGTAATCTGTCATGTATAGGTTCCAGCTAATATTGAGAGGAGAGATACAGATATTTGTTGCTTGCATTTTTTTTCCTCATTATTTTTCCCAGTGATTTCTACTTACATAGAAAGGTTGAAAATTTGGATTCGGGTATGTTTCCCATTTATGAAAATGATGTGCTTTTACTTAGGCATGCAGTTCGTGTGTCATTTCAGAGTTGTAAAATATTTAAATAGATCCAATTAATTCAGGACATTGAGATAAATTAGATTCCAATAGTGCATCAGATTAAACTGTGGACTTCCGTTTTGATCATACAAACCAATAAACTGTGGTCTGATTTCTTTCCGTACTATATAGTTCCTAGATTTGCCACGACCACAGTTGACTGCTGCTGCTGAAACACATACGGAACCTAGATCAGCTACAGCTTTTGGAAGACAAAAATACGTGACAAATTTTAATGAACAGCAGATATGCTTACAATGATCTGCTTATGTTTTACACAGGTCTTTCACTTTTGGCTATTTCCGTTCCAAGCCACTTGATCCTATCTTCCTCCGGTGATCAGGTATATTCTACCAAAATGCTTATATGCAGTCTAACATGTACATCCAGATCCTTACCATGTGCGCCCACATATATACCACGTCCCAAGTTTTTCTAGGCGCTAGGCGAAATCTAGGCGATGACCCCTAGCCTAGCGACTAGTCCAGCCTAGGCTAGCCTAGGCGATGCTAGGCGTTTTGCCAATTTAGTATAATATATAATATATATAGCATAATATATATATTTATATAGCAGAAATCATGATATATACATGCAGTACTACAGCAATTCACAGATTCATACTTCAGATTTCAGAAACAGAGGAGAGGAGAGCAGCAGGGAAACAGAGCAGAGCAGTTCAAGGGAGCAGAGCAGAGCAGGGGAGGACATACCTTCGGCTTCGGGCGTCGGCCTTGGGGGCTGGGGCTCCGCCTGAGGGAGATGACCACCGGGGAGGGTACTGGGCGGCGGGGAGTTGGCCGGCGGGGAGGCCCTTCGAGGCTTCAATGTGGGGAGGAGGATGAGCTGGGCGGAGACAGGGGAGGAGTGGAGCAGGACGAGGTCGGAACGGACTGGCGGGCAGGGAGGAGCGTCGGCGCCGGCGGAAGCTGCTTCCCGGCGGAGAGGAGCGTCGCCTGGCAGCGGAATAGCGTCACGCGCGGCTTTGGTACCCATACGCGGCCTTATCCGTCGCGCGCACGCGGCAATTTCCCCCCGGCGCCAACCTTTCCCGCGCGCGCGCTCGCCGGCCGCCGCATAATATTTTGCGCGCGCTGGGAAACCCGGGCCGACTCGAGTCGATTCCGCGCCGCCTAGGGCTTCTGGGCGCCGCCGAGTCGCGCGGAGGCGCTCCCGTCGACTTGAGGGGCGACTACCCCCCTAGTCCAGGCGCCGGGCCGTAGCCTAGCGACTAGGCGTGTCGTAGTCGTCGACTTTCAAAACTTGGACCACGTCACATGTACTTCACTCTGTACACCCGTGCAGAGGCTCATATGTTTGTAATTCACCATATGTGAAACTGTTAGACGTGCTTTTTGTCATCAGCGCAACAGCGATGGAAATGTCTCTTCTCCTTTTGTGTTACTAAACATCGGTGTTATGATCAATGATAACATCCACTGATAGTACCCACAGATAACCCATGCGACCCCTCCGGCACCGTCCACGCATGCTGGCTTCTCGGACCACCTTAGCGGCATCACGTCCCCTGCATCCGTCCGAGAAAATAAAAAAAAAGCGACCTCGCAGCACCTACGCCGCCAGCCGCCGGGTCGCGCGTGTGCCCAATGGCACGCGGCCCTCCTCGAAACCGCTGCACAGGCCCCCTCAGCTCCTCTCTCGCTTATTAGTCATTCATTCCTTTTTTCCGCAGATTGAGAAACTGATGGAGAGGAGCGCATGCAAGGTGCTTGCTGTATTGCCTCTACCCACACGTATATCCTTTTTTTTTAATTATGTTACTATTGCTCCTTTCAGATCCTTCATGTACATTGTTCACTGATATGGAACTCTTCTCCTGCTGAGAAGCATGATGAGGCCTTCCTTCCAACAAAGCATGTAATTTTTTGATTCCAGTAGGATAAGTACACAATTTTCTAACATCTTATACAGTAGTGCTTCAATTCTATGAATTTCTGAAAAAAAAAGTTGCTTACTGACTTGGAGTTTCACTGTCTCTAGCATTCTGTATTCATACAAATGCAAAGGACTCCTACAAATGAAATGATAATTGTGTATTTTGGGTCAAAAATCACAATGGGCTGAATGCAAAATTTATATAAAACTTAGAGGACCTTAATTAATTTAGATGACTACAAAGCAGGATACAAATTCCAAGTAAATTTTATTAGAATAGAATTTTGCTTCTGCAATTTTGGTTTTTATCAGTGTTTCTTTGCTTGGGCAATAGGAGCTCCAAATATCTTGTATGCTTCTGTAATTTACACCATTGCTAAGATAGCTCTCCTTATTGCTGCTACTGCAGCCTTCATCATATTGTTGATAATTGGCATCCCGCCAGCTGTTGATCCTGCCGTCGCCGGGGAGGCCGCATCTAGCCCAACGGAGGCCGCATCCCGCCAGCTGTTGATCCTGCAAAAAAAGAGTAACTTTTTCCCTGTTGTTCATTACTGTACACTGACATAAAGGAGAAAGGCTACACCTCAAATAGGTGCTAAAATGAATTGATCCCAGTATGACACTATTTTAATCTTAAAAGAAGGCTAAGAGGTCTAACTCCCATCCTCACCCCTAGAAAATTCAGCTTTGTTTCATAGTCACTACATGGTGATTACTACAACATGCATGAATTTTATTATTAGAAAGTCTAATCTTCCTGCTAATCCGCTTTATAAATGTTATAGTACCTGCTAATCAATAGTCGCTTAAAAAATATTTAGAATGTTGGCAGTTCTATTACAATAAATTTATTAGGCATGACAACATGTTCTCTGTATGAAGCACTTTACTTGAGAAGGCATTTTTCAGAGGAAAGATGGACTTCAGTGTTTGTCCAATAAAAGTGCCATAGTGGATACTTAGGCACAGTGATACTGTATCCGAAACATATCTTGAGTTAGTGGATTTACTGTCCTACTATTACTGATTGACTCTGCAGAAAAGGTAGTACGGAGAAGCTAATGGTGTTCTTGGATGTATGGAGTAATGGGATGCTATACCAAATACTGATGCTGCAGTTGTGTTCAGCCCTTGACAAAGGTGAAATTATTTGTCCTCACTATTTGTTAGTTTACATCTTTGCAAATAATCAGAACTTTGCAATTTGGGGATTACTCTATGAAAGAAAACCAACGAAGCCCAATCACACACTGTCCCTGAATTGCTAATGCCTCATCATGTAACCCTTTTCCTTTTAATGCGATATATGTGATTGAGGACTTCATTTCAACATGTTAAGCAACTTATGATCTTAAGGGAGACACTCTTTTTTGCAGGTATCAGAATGTGGTACAGCACGCACTGCCAGTAATTGCACATGCTAGCGACATTGTTCCCAATACAAGAGAAGAACTCCAGCTTTGCACAGGCCGCTCTGGTGGAAAGATGGTGGCCCAACCTTTTCTTCTTGCCTATCGAACTAGCAATGGTTACTTCCCAACAGTTTTACAGGGAATGGCTGCTTCCCTACGGTTTTACAGTCTAAGACGAACAATTCTTCGAACATGGGATTGCCGCTGCGCTATGCATCCTTACAGCTATCGAATTATACGTATACATATATGTGTAAGGACAATCAATTACTCATCTATAATGACCATATGTTTAAGATCGACTATAGATACATGTGTGTGCACCATCAATTACTCACCTATATACATATATGTCAGCTGGCTTTGTCTAGCCCGTGGCAATTGCCGCAGGGTTCTGGCTAGTAGACCTCAATTATCGAAATTAGAAGTAAAACTATTGTTTTCTTGGCTAGTTGTGGTGCTTTATGTTCATTGATTAGTTTTTTGAAGTTGGTATCATACTTTAGGGAAGAGAAACACCAAATGTGTGCTCACATTAATTTTATTTTTGCAAATAGAAATATTAAAAAATAAATAATAATTTTAAAATAAGGCGGTTATGGGCTAAGGTTGAAACATCTAACCCATCTAGCTAGAATATCAAATTAGCTCACAACTAGGCCCAATCAGCCCATGTCACTGTTCACGAGGGGGGTACTGTAATGTCGTGCTACAGTACCGACTCCCACATTTGGCGTAAAAAATCCTAGAGCTTTCCTATAAAAAAAAAACCCCTAGAGCTTCCTCTCCCCATAGCAGCCACCCCTTCGGTCTTTGTTTTGGCTGCCACACATCCTAGCAGAGAGGAGAACATGGGAGAGGAGCTCAAGAGGAAGAGGTGAAGAGCGGGATGATGCCCTTTTTGTTCACAGCGGGTATACATCCCTACCATCTCCCATAGATCATGTTTATCATCTGATTCTATCTTTGCTTTGGCACCTAGATCAGCAAAGTTGTTTGCATTAGCAAGAGAAGGGTAGAGGTTGATGGTTGAGGAATCGTCATCTTTTCTCGTTTCCCTACTATTTTGCACATAGGGAAATCCAAGGTGATTCTTACCTCTACTATAGAACATGTATCTACAATGTTTTTGGCAATTTAGTTTATGGAAAAGGTCAATTAGAGGCGATATGATGCTAAAAACCTTCGAGGCAATTGCTTCCCTTGTGTTCTGAAATTTTCAGAATAGATTGTTTCTGTTTATCATGTCATTCGGTTGCCATAGTGGACAAATCTGCCATACCCTTGAATGTAAAAGTTGTTCATAGCTTCAATATCTTTGAACTCATCAAATTTCAAGATTTTAGACGGTGTGGTTCAGGAGTTATGTTTTTCTTAGTGTGACTGTTGCTGTTCTGATGATATTCTGGACAGTAACTGATTGATTCAGGTTTTGGCCCTGTTCAGGATCAAACTAGTTTTCCTAGTGAATACCATAGTTGTAGAGTTTTTAATAAGCTTTCCAACAGTGTTTAACATGTTAGCATATGTTTAGTATAACTCCAGTTATGATTATTTTATTTGACTGTTGTTTTATCATCACAAAAATTGTTTATGGGCTTGTTTTCGGTACCTTACTTCCTTTAAGCTCCAAAAGTTGTAACATAAAAGTTGTATATAGTGCTGTTTTCTACCTTCTAGTGAATTTTTATAATGGTTGGACAAGTGGTTTCATAGATATTGATATTTTACCTTTGATTGTCCGAATTCAAGACAGATTCTATTGTCTGGACTCAACGGAAGTTTAGGCGTGCTTAAATTCAGAATAAAAATAGTTTGTCTTCATCAAAGTCATAGGCATTGTTCTGAAGTTTCTGAGTTTGTATTTATCTACTGCAATTGCTCTTGTAGATTTAAAGATACATAAAAAACAAGCAGCACTGCTGCTGTTAACCGAACGTAGTGCTTATGGTGTGGTTTGCATGATGGGTTAGGGCCTAGTAGCACTTTTCATACCATTCTTTTTATATTTGTGTGAATGTACGAACTGAGTTTATGTCAGGTGGTATTACTCTAGATTGTGGCTAGTGCCTTTTGCATCACTATTTTTATGCAAGTAAACGTAGTTGTGGCTTTGCTACAATTTTAATGTGTTATTTACTTCTACCACTATATCTTAATATCAGAAATATGATGAATAATCTAATGATCTAAATTAATTATGTCTAAGAAATTCAAATCAAAATTTATTGTTTGGTATTCATTCGTTTGTGGTTATGTTTTGATGTGAGGTTTAGCTTATAATGTTTGGTGAATATGAGCATGGTTATGTCATATATGGATGAGGCTTATTGGTACTTGTGATTCGTTGGAAGATTTGAATCTTATGTTATACTTTATTTTGGACCAAATTTATTCTTTTGTGATGTCGTTGAAATAGTTAACCATTGAATGAAGTGTCTCATATGCACATTGCATGGCATAACATTTTCATTTGAAGTTATGTCACCGTTTGCTGGCGGTGACTTGTACCGGTACAACATCATACAGTGTCCCATGGAGGGGTATGATGCACACTCTTATAGTGTCTCGTGGAGGGGTAAGAGTGCATAAGAGCATGTCATTTGCATTACATATACATTCCTTTCATGTGGTGTGAAGTGAATGGAAGCGATTGAAAGCCTTAGTTTGGTTTTGAATAATTGATGAAACTTTAGTGTACTGACCTGTTTAGACCAAAATTTGGAAAGGAGAACACGGGAACTCGAAGCTTCTAAGATTGTATCATCAAGGAATCGATCAGATGTGAATCGATATCGGCTAGTTTTGATGCAGTGTTAGAATCGGCTATTTTATAGATGACGTCAGCGGACAACGTCAATGGACTACGTACGGATGGCGTCGGGGAGAATATGTCGGACTCTACAAAAAAAGGAAAAGATTAGGGTCCCAGTTATCTTGAGTTAGGAATGTTTTCTTTTATTCCAAGAATTGTAATGAGTCATATTTGAGTAGGATTCATGTTTAGGTTCCGAGTATAAATATTAGGCTCCAGTTATTGTAAGACAATCAATCAATTAATACAATTACTTTTTTTGGCTTCACATCAACCCTTAAGAGTAGGAGTACTGTAGATCTCGATGAGTTCTTCAACAAGCAGGGCTGCATCGACTGATCGACCTCCAGCTTATCTGTGAGTACCGTCACGACTTGTATCATACTTGTAAAGCTGCATCAGCCGATTGATCTTTTACGAGTATAATATAGGTTAGTTATCGATTTGTATCATTATTTGTAAGGTGGCATCACCTGACTGATCTCGTACGAATCATAATATAGATCAAAGTTATCGATCTTGTGTTAAATAACTTATTGTTTAATACAATATCATCAGTTATCGAATTTGCTAAGATTAGTAAGATTTTCCTTGCTGTTTTTGGTTGATTCACCAACTATCGATCTTGTTATAATTAATGTTTCATTAATTGTAACAAATCGCCTGATTGAGATAGAGATAGATCGGCATCATATCATCTTAATTGGTCGTCCTTTGATCCAGTCACGTTTTAAATCTCATAATTGACAACTTAATTCTGCTAGATCGACTGTTTTATCTCTATTCCAATCAAACATAGTACGCATCTAAAGACATGTTTCAATCTTGAACAAACTCAATAGTTAATGAGATCTAATCTAATGACACTACCATAGCTGCATCGACCCAGTCGAACCTCACTGGTAAGACTTTAGATCAGAAATTATTGATTAATGGTTTTGTTCATGATCGAGATATGTACTCTATTTGTTTTCTATGCCTCCATCGACTATTTTAGCCGATTCGCCTGTGCTTTCACACATATAGCATGTTTTTCATGAACCTATCAATATATAGATGGTTTTATAGATTCTTTAGCTTTAGTTTGCTACTATTTTCATAGCTGTATCGATCCGGTCGAACCTCACTATTGATGGTAACATATTAGATTCAAAGCGTTTGTAGATCCATTTGTACTAAACAGTCGATTTGTTCGCATGTTATATCCTTTCCCGTTAAACTTATTGGCTCAATGCTTTACACTGATTATATCCATCTAGCTGATGAAGTTTCTTCATATTACTTATATCTGGGTCCATCGTACTTGCTATCATAAATCAATCATGACCCGCGAGCATCAT